ATTCTTCTCACTTAACTGTTATTATTGTTTCTACTGAAACATTTCTTTACACCAGAACAGCAACACTATTCTTAATGAGTATTTCACCAAGTGAGTTAGTGATATCAGGAGATGAACTATACAGTTGTTACAGTATCACATGATTTGATACAAATATCGTTTATATTCATAAAATGAAACATAATTTTAGAAAAATCCCTTGTGAAATTCAGTTTCATTTCAATGAATATATCCTCATACAGAAAACCTAACCATGAATAAAGTACTTGATATGAATATTTGAGTTATAACTATATAATGACGTGATTCCAAAACTATCTGAATAAATTCCTAATTGAAAATCGCGATAGTTGGAGATAACTATTTCTGTTAACTATTTCTTTTAACCAATTTTGGATGGTCTATGTATTCTGCATCGAAAGTTCGACTAATATAGATGCCGAACAAAGAATCCGGGAACCTGGTCGTAAAACGCTGTAATTTATGAAGTTACTTCGACTGCAGCACTCCTACGTTAACGAAGCCTCTTTATCCTTAACTGGTAATACACATTCTGAATTGAAGATATCAGATGTTACCAGCTTCTTGCTCAATAGGTATACACAGTGGAATTTAGAATATTTTGAACAGAACCGTGTTCAGGACCCTGATGTTATCCTAATGAAGCTGGAAACAGTTGAGGTAAACAGAAATATTCATTTATCTTTTGAATACTTCATAATATCATCCAGTATTTAAAAAAAGAGTGTATGTGAACTTATATATGCACGTAAGAAGTTATACTTCGTTTTTTTAAATTATTTCTCGCTGTGATTCATTTGATAATTGGTTTGAAGTTATTCATATATTTCAAATATTTATTAAACTTCAATCTGATACTATCGTCATGTACTGTGTATGAGACAACCTGACAATAAATTTCATTATTTAAACATTCAAGATTACTTTGTGAAAGGAACATTTAATTAAATTAATTATTTGGAATAATTGAATTATTATTTGTATCCATTATTGATTTATCAATTCACTTTACATTCACAATTTACATTCAAATGTAATTACATTCAAATGAATGTACAAGACATGCATTCGCATCTGGAACCAGAGATGTTTCAATTAATCAAAAATAAATTCTCCAAAGTACCTACTGTAAGAATTTCAAGTGAGGAAATTGCAGCAAGATTCTGCCAGATGTTCATAAATCTTCTTGCCATCCAGGTACTCAATCTTTGTTTGGCAAAGCCTAAAGCGATGCCAATGACAGGTTCTGGTCCGAAAAAGCTGCTTGCAGCACCCTCCTTTGCAAGGGAGTCAGAAGTCTCATTGCCTTCCAGGTAAGTATGGCCAGGAATCCAGACCAGAGACAATCTGTTGAGTCTTCCTATGCAGACTTTCGAGTCTTCCTATCGAGGAGAGTCGTTTTTGGCTATTTGCTACCAATTTAGACGTTGCTCGGTAGGAGCCAAAAGCTTCCAACGCCGCTTGACTTGTTCATGAGGTTGGATTTTTCCAATTTCTCCGCACACTATTCAATAGCGTAAGTTTCCCCTTGAAATACAGGGGAGTACCAAAATTTATGATATGGGAAACATTAGGAAACAGATTCATAACAAATTCAAAGAGTACTGTGAAAATACAACCAGGAACAGACACAGAATAACTGCTTCAAGAGCGTAGATATCGACTTGGAATGATTACAGGGTTTCTCATGTACAGAACTCATCAACCCGGATTTTGTTTTNATAATCCTGCCATATTCATTCAAGCATATTCTATGAATATTCTAAAGGCATGTATATATTCCAAGAATATTCTATGAATATTTGGAATATATACGTTCGTTTTATGATATACAGGGAATATTCCATGAATATCTAGTGCTGTGTGGGCAAGAGACAATCGATTAAGTCTTCCTATCGAGGAGAGTCGTTTTTGGCAATTTGCTACCAATTTAGACGTTGCTTGGTAGAAGCCAAGAACTTTCCACACCGCTTAACTGTCAGAGAATATTTTTATTGACTTGTGTATGAGGTTGAATCCTTCCAATCTATTCACACACGATTGAATAGCGTAAATTTCCGCTTGAAATACAGTCGCATAGGTTTCTAGGTAGGTTGATATCTCTGCCGTGGGTCTGCGACTGAAAACACCTGCACTGTGAACCAACAGCTATCTGCTCTAAATATTTCCTTCTCCCAGAGGATCCGATCTTCTCTACTCGGAAACAGTAAATTATAAGAGAGTTCGTAGTTGACAGTTGGAGGAGTCCTCCGAATTCTTCCCCCCGCCGCATCACCGACGCAGAACGCCGCCAATGCGCTGGGATGAATTAGCAGGGTAAAAGACCCATACTCTTTATTTCCCACGAAAACATTTTGCAATATATATATATGTATTTACAATTTTTCCATAAACTAGTTTTTTAATCACAATAATAACTTAAGTAGAACAAAAGAAGAAAAACAAAAAAGCTACTATTCAGACATGAACAAATCAAAAAAACTAATTTACTATCCCAACCCATAATCCCCTTTCTGTTCCCTCACAATGTAATCGCATATCATTGGATTTATGAACAGTTCCACAAACTCATGTCCAGCCACGACCAAGAAGACAGTCACGTACCCCCCAGAAGCGACCTTTCCCCATTCCGTCTGTGTGATAGTAACTTACCCAAATCCTTCCCTTTCGTCCCTCACCACGCTATCTGCTCATTCATTCACGAATTGTATCCATTCGTTCTTTTTTCCATTCGCATCCCTTACAATAATTTCGCCATTCACCCTCTCCGTCCTTTTCTTCCACTCTCGCCATCCAATCCTATCCCCTATCATACTCCAACAATCACGTGATCCGCCGTTTCCGGCTTCCCATAGTCACACGGGCAGGGTTCCTCCGGGTCCAGTTTGAATCGCGCCAGGTATCCCGGGAAGTTCCCATGCCCCGTGAAGAGCTGGATGGCCTTTCGCGACAGATCCAATGATTAATGCCCGACTGTTCTACAGAATCTAGAGAACAGCCGCCCAGTCTCACCCCTCTCCCATTCCCTTTGCCATTCCCTCTTGATGCTCTCTTTTATGCGTTTCCTCTCATCCATTTTACTGTGTATCTGTCTCACGTTTAACGAGACCTGTTCCTTGTTCATGACCATATGGGCCTCTTCATGGGAAATGTGAAGACATTTCCTATATTGCCGGCGTCGTGTCCCCTCCTCCATATGATTTGGGTACGTACTCCCCTCTCTCTCCTTTCCTCAATCATCCTCTGAATCCTTGCTACTCTTTTATCCACCACTCTTCCTGCTTTCACTCGTTCAAACAGTCATAGCAGAGTCACTAACTATTTTCAAATTCTCCTCCATACTCCACATGCCAATCACTCGCTCAATCGCTGTTAACTCTACTTCATTCACGCTACTTTGCCCGGTGATCCTTTCATTCCCGGTGGTCCATTCATCTCCTCTCCTTTTATACGCCCAGCCTATTCCCATTTTTCCTTACTTCATTCTCGCTCCGGCATCCACATACACTTCACTCACTTCCTCGCCCTCCATCTCCTCCAGCAACTCCTCTTGCAACGAGGGGAAAATTTTGTCTTCTCCTTTCACTCTGTCTTCTGTCTTCCTTTTCCCATTCACTCTCCATTCATGATTCTAGCCCATCCTTCTATTTGAAGTGGCGCCATTCCGGTGATGACGCTGAGTGCAGCTGTTGGCGTCGTTCTGTATGCTTCACACGAAGCTAACAAAAACGGCCTCTGTGCCACACTCAGCTGTCTTTTCGCCCTACTATCATGCGCCCTTTTCCCCCAGGCTTGTACTCCGGACAGTACCGCAGGTTTGGCTACCCTTTCATATATCATCCTTACACATTCTCTCTTCAGTCCAACATTCCTCCCGGTCCACCTCCTCATTTATCCTGCCAGTTCGCTCAGTTTTTTCCTTTCCTCTTTGTGGTGGTCTATGAACAGTATCCACCACCACAATCCCGAGGTATCTCACACTCGTTTTTTACTCTATCTCTCTTCCATTCGTTCTCAGTACCGGGAGTCTTTCATCCTTACTAGTTGTTATGAACATGCATTCTGTCTTCCTCTCGTTATACCTCAGCCACATCTCTGTCTCCCATGCTTTGCACTTACTCCATACCAACTTCCATCTATCCTCTATGCTATCGACAGAGTTACCTTCGATGATGACAAGCTGGTCATCCGCATAGGCCTGCACTTGTACTCCTACTGCTCCAATGCCTTTTCTGATTTTAATGCTATTGATTCTCTCGAACCATGCTTCTATCCCTAACAACCATAGGGTCGGTCCCAGACTTGAACCCTGTGGGCAATTTCTGTTCACCGTTTCAGAGACCGCCCGTCCATAGGGACAGTCTGACTTTGTGTAAAACTTTTTGCAAATGAGCGTTCCACCTAATTCCAAATGGAATGGCCTCACCATTGAGGTGATAACCCCTTCACCTCCTGGTGAAGGGGTTATCACAATTTTGCTGGGGTTGACATACATCTGCTCCCTCAGGCACTAACAGTTAAAAAGGGTTTTGTTATTTCAAGTCAATTTGTTTCATAAACTAACAACGTTTTTTCAGTTTTGTCAATAAGCTGACAGAAAGCGCTTATATTTTCTAGTGCTACTTTTCCTCTACACTGACAATCAATCAATAAGGAGGTAAAAATAGTTTTAAATTTAGATATTTTCAAATTAATATTATAGTTCCCATATTTTATATCATCTCCACCCACAGTGACACTAGAGAACTTTATAACAATTTTTTTGTTTTGTTTTTTGTTGATCAAGTTCGGCGCCTTCAACTAAACATCCTCCGTTTGAGTCACATAATCGCACCTGCATTATAAAGAAACTGTCAAGTTAATAACAGAGCCTCGTCGAAAAGCATAATATGTCTACAAAGTTACCACGTATGCGCTAAGTACATAAAAAACTTCCTCACAAAAAACTATCCAATAAAAACTTCTCGATAAATAAACAGACAGGCTTATTTATCAGTTCGTTTTCGATAGAATAGAGTTGATATCCTCTGTGAGTTTCTTTCTTGAAAATGGAAACTTTTCACAGACTTAGAGCTAAATTTCTAGCATCATCTACTTTCCATACAATGAAACGGCATGAGGTATGTTTATAAGTTTTTAATTTATCAAAAGTTGAAATTAAAAATCACCGTTAATGTGGAGAACATGGTGAATTGTTCGATTTTTCAAAGAGTAAATTGGGAAGATTAAGTAATTGCAACGAAGTGAATTCCAATTTATAGTAGAACTTCAATTTTTTTCTTTCAAAAATGAATTTTAACTCGGAATGACTATTCCTTTTTATCGACTTTCTAGGTATTTAATCTCCTACAATATATTCAAATCAATAGATTTTTTCGTAACAGGATAGTAAAGGATATACTGCGAAATGTACACTTCTCAGACGATGTCTAATTATTCAGTTACTTGTATTTATAGGTACATTTTTCATGTCATCAGAATAATAATTGTAATTTTCATAATCAGTTCTGATAAAATGTTGGCATAGAAGAAGTCGTTTCGTTGTCATTAAACATATTAGAATTACTTTTCGACATATGTCAAATAGATGGCAATTATCTAAATAATATTTATTTGATAGTTTCATATACCAAACAAAAAATATATGCATATTCTTCAACTTCAACGCCTTTTTAATTAAATTCACTTCTTTATGTGATCATCAGTTGATTTCAAAAAGTTTTTCTCCAACTCTTTTTTATGTTATCATTCTCTTTGTCGTGTATTCACGATGATCCTTCTATCTTACCCCTAGTTTATAATAATGCAAGGTAAGGTAAGGTAAGGTAATGCAGAGAGGTAAGGTAAGGTATCCATTTTTTAAAGTTCACGAAAAAGTAAAGTATGAAAAATTGCCGTAGTGATTATAGGTTTTGGTAATTTTTGAGCTGGCAGGATTGCATAAACAAATATTGACTTTTCATATTCTTGACAGCAGCAATCATTCATATGAAATAAATAATAATTGTCATTTCTATAATATTATGGAAGACGCATATTTTATATCATTAATAGAACAATACCCAAATTTCACAATNAAATATTTTTTGTGTTGAAAATAATTTTTCAATGAACATATCATGAGATTCAAAAAAACAAGAGAGTGACAAAAAATCTTCAGCATAAACAGTTTATGCTTGAAGAAGCTATTGTATAGCGAAACACTTGTCGCGGTTAGTGAAAATCATACAATAAACTATTGATTAGTGTTTTTTGAACATACTGGTCCAAAAACGTATTGAGGGTTAATTTTACAAAACAAAATGTTGTGAGAGCACTTTGCCCATTCGGTTGCGTCCTTCTTAATTGAAGTTTAAAGGATTCAGAAGAGAAAATTCGAAAAAAAATCACATAAAATTATTTGATAGATGAAAAAACAAATAATTTTCGAATGAACAATTGCATCGGTTGCAGATTGAATCAATAAATGGCATTTCCTTAAAGGTGTATTAATCATATTTGCATAATGTAGATGCATATGCTAGAATTAAAAAAAAAGTGAAAAAGGTTTCAGCAATTTTTCTAGATATCAATTCGGATCAAATGAGCCATCGTACGTATTTTTCCGACCATTATTTCTATTTTTCACCAGTTTCAACTTGTGAACTAGACTGACAAATTCTACTGCCTTTGCAGTGGTTGCAGCCTATGAAAATATACCTTTACAATGAAATCGCAGATGTGCGAATATTTCAAATATAAAATGTTTTCTAGAATCATTTGTCATCTGTACATACAGTCATTGTCACTTTCTTTACAAAAATAAAATCGGCATGTTTTTATTTTATTTAAAGACTAATAACAAAAAAAAGTCTCCTAGTGAATGCAATACTTCAAAAAACAGCCACTAAGAGGCGTTTCGGCGAAAGGGGGTGTGACGTCATCAGATATATGAATAGCGAAGCCGGCTAGGAATCTTCAATAATATTAGCATAAGTGATCTGAACGTTCAAAAAATTTTTGGTTGTTTGCATTGATCAGCCTTTTTTAAGGGAACATGAAGAAATAAAAAGTAAAAAAGTGTATATATATATATANTTTGTAATTGTTACCAAAATTAAAAAGTTAGGAAAAAACTCAGTTCATTTCGATGCGAGCATCAGTTTAATATAAATATTATACATTTTTTGGGTATTGCCAATACACTCAAATATATTGTTTCACTTAATTCTTTCATTGCTGAAATTTAAATTTGTATAATTTTACTTCAGAAACACTTTCAATTATTGAATGCGTTCCTCATTCCTATGCTTTCGTTTTGGAGTTTTGTCTTTGTATAGCAAGCACAAAATTAGATTGCACTGAATGTCTCTATTTCTATTGTATTTCGAGAAGACCATCGGATATCGCTTCATGCACGAACAAATAAATTCAATACTTCTGCAATAAATTTATTGAATGTCTTTATATATATCCGAGTAAAAATGTTTTTGGACAATACTATTGTACTATTGTAACCATATTCAGATAAATGATAAACACATTTAATACGATATCCACTGGTGTGAGGAGAATTATTATAATATGAATAATAAATATGTTGTATTCATATAAGCATGCTTACACTCACAAGCATACAAAGCTTGTATTTCAAAATGAATAATTTTCCCAGAATCATGAACCCTGAATTCAGAAAACTTTTTCCAAGGACGTAATTTGTCACCCGGTACTATTTATTGTGGTAGTCTTGATGGGAAGTGAGACACGGCTTGGCCTTTTGAATGACCAATGAACCCGGAGACAATCTCCGGAATTCCATTCCTCTTCTCTGTTGTTTTGGTCCGGTTACAGCTAATCTAGTGCATCTTTGTTATTAGCGGAGAGTCCTTGAGACGAACCCATATTTCAGTTTCATCATTCTCAGTATTAACATAAATATCACGACTTGGTGAATGTTCTACCAACTGTTCATCTTGAAAACTCGTCAAACCGAATTCGATAAATTTTTTTCAACCAAACTATTATTAACATTCCATTCAGTGGAGAAATCAGAGAGTTTTTGATGGTGCAGAAACTCATGAAAACCCATTAGTCAGGGAAGCTATGGATTATACTGTAGATGACCCCTCCCGATATAGAAGGCCCCGACACTCTGTTGAATGAGGCCCCTATGTCCTCCGTTAAAAGATGAACAATTTTTTCATCTAATCCACCCCAGCCAGGTAGGGGTACACCGTGAAGGCGGTACTGATGTCTGAGGACATTCATGCCGCCATACCATCAACACTCACCATCAGTTATGACCCGTTTGTTCTTCTGGCAAACATCAGTCCAAAGGGTGAGGGAGCCAGGCACCAACATGTTTGGAATCAAAACGACGTGCAGGTCACATTTTGTCTTCAATCGAGGACCGCCTACCCGGTACTGACGATTCCCAATAGGCTGAAAGAGCTGTCTACCGGTGGCTTTCAAATTGAAATCAATATGGGAATGATCAAAATAGTACTTATCTATTTCAGGTTGAACCGCTTCTAGAGTTTTGTGTTCGACGTTTTGTCTCCCATTTTTCCAGGTTAGGGGTTTCCAGGCAGTTAGAAGTCTCTGACCGTCATCACGTTTGTTCAGGCAGAAATGTCGCTTTTCGATTTCGATGGCCTCGCGAATTATTCGAGTTTGTAGTGTTCTCGCTGTGGCGATGGTCTTAGTGTTCGCAAAGTCTATGTTGTGTCCTGGTCTCTTGATGATGTTTGGACAGGGCTGAGGATGGGTCTGATTTTCGGCCATACCACCGATCACACATCAACACGCCAGTTCTACATATGTATGGAGTTACTCCTTTTGAAATTGATTGCTTTCTTTCTTTGGAAGATTTCCATTTTTTTGTATAAAGATGGAGTAGTAGAATCCAAATACTTTCTTTCCCAAATATTATGATCAATATGTCATCCGATGTAAAAGTATCCAAAAATTTCATTGTACTATAGAAGAATGACTTACAAAAAATTGCAAAATAATAACAATAACAAGATCTCAAAATTTTATTTAAGAACTCCAATTTTTCAACGAAAACTTTGTTGTGTTCTGATTGGTTTCAGGATTTTGCCGTGATCTTCTTTGGTTTCAATCTCCAAACGTTTCTTGACGTATCAACTTCTTGAAGTATCAAGTGATACGTATCAGTTGATACGTCAAGAAGTTGATACGTTAAGAAGAGTACTTCAACCACGCCACTGAAGATGACCGCCGCAGTTGCAGTTGAAACGTTTGGGGATTGTAACCAAAGAAGACCACGGCAAAACCCAGAAACCAACGAAAACATTCACGCCAGTCGTGAAAGCCTACATTCCTATATCAGAAAACTTATTATTTATTAATTCCATGCGAGCAACCAGCACAATAAAACCACGAGTCATATAATGGAATTGGCCGATACTATGATAGCTCATCGTTCTGAGGTTCAACTCAGTACACCTCGAACTTCATTGTGCAAGAACTCTTTCATTTGGAGAACTGCATTTATGTGGAATGAACTACATGAGAATGTTTTTCCAAATGGATTTAATTTCCAGCGATTCAAATCCAGTGTGAATCGCTACTTTCGCACGGGCACCGCTCTTAGAGCAGCACCGCTCTAATTCTTTATTTTCACTATTAGATATGTAAATAACATTAAATCAAAATTATAGCCAAATTCACATCACATCATAACATTCATTAATTTATCTCAACAGAATTCATCATTCTGTATCCGTTCTTCCTGTTGTATACAAATTATAGCCCTTTCATCCACAGACTTTGTGACCTATTCAATGAATAGAGGATTTATGTTAGCACAACACTCCCGAATGGTATTCTCTAAATGTTTTTTGTTTGCAAATGGTATGTGCTTATACACGTTTTGTTTCAAATAACCCCATAGAGAAAAGTCCATCGGAGATAAGTCCAGTGATTTTGGTGGCCAATAATCTTCCCAATCTCGTCCCATCACTTTGCCCCTAAACATCTGACTGAGACACTGTTTTACTTCTACCGTTTGGTTGAGCGGTACTGATACTACAAATTTTGTCTAACACTTAGAGGCAGATTATCCAAAAACTTCAGGCAACTGATTTACAATGAATTTTATCTGCATGTCTGCGTTCAAATTTTCTCTAAAAAAATTGGTCCAATCATTTGGTCATGTAATTAACCTACGCCACACTTGAATTAATATTGGTCACGACATTCTGTCACAAAATTTGGATTATTGTTGGACCACCAGCAACTATTTTGGGAACTAACTGTTCCGTTTGACGTGAAAGTTGCCTCGTCTGCTAATGAAATTCTGTAGGGAAATGCGATATCATTTTCTAGAACCAAAATAAAAATCGTACTCGAGTATCTAAATCTCTTTCTTTAAGAGTTTGTATGAACTTTAGCTTATAGGGATTAAATTTACTTTTGGGCAAAGTTCTTCTCACAGTTTCTCTTAAGGTCAGTTTACAGAAAAGTATGATATTTCGGGTTAGTTTGTAACTGAATTATTGGTGAGAAAAATAATCAAACTGGATAAAAATCTATCAAAAAAAGAATACGAGTGTAATAAGAATGAAGAGAAATATGTTTATTCGATTACTGACATATTAACGTCCATACATTGAAAGTCTGAATCATGAAATGAAAAAACTAGATGAACTTTGCAACAACAAAGACAAATTTCTGAAGACGTTTTTATTTCTTTTTCTGAAAACAGGCCAATGTGGGTATTTTCTGTTCAAGGTATGACATTGAAGTCTCGTATTCATCAAAATTGTGAAATTTGAATCATGTTTCGTTCGAAACGATAGAGCGAAAGATTCGAAAAATTAAAAAATTTGGGAAAAAATCGAATTGACACTAGAGTCCAAATTTCGAGCAAGCATATAAAATTGGAAACTGAGCAACTTCTTTTGTCATTTTTTGAGATTTCAAAAAAAACTTATTTTTTAAGAATTTTCGAAAAAATCTCAACTTTCACAGATTCAGAATAGCACATGAGCACAAACTGACTGCGAAGTCAAATTTTTATTATATTTATTCAAATTCACATTATATTTATTGATGAAAAAACGTTTATATGTCTCGAACTTTGTGTGACACTGAATGTGAAAAATTATTATCATCATGTCATCAAAGAATATACTTGTGATGCACTATTTGGAACCTTTGGTGTAGAAATGAATATTACCGGAGTTGTATCTCAACAACATACCTTTATTTTTACCACATGTTTCAATCACCCCAAGTGATCATCTTCAAGAAGAAGATTAGAGAGGAAACTCAATCTTCCTCTCGAATATCGAAGACGAAATTTAATCTTCCTCTTGAAGATGATCTCTTGGTGATTGAAACAGGTGTCGAGGTGTTAAAAATAAGTGTTTTGTGTTGAGATGGAACTCCAGTAATATCAAAGAATATGTTTTTTTCAGATTTCAGATATTCCAGGGATTCATCTTCCCTACTTAGTATGCTTGCTTCAAACTGCTGGATATCACCTCACCAAAGTGGACTGCGTGAATCCAAACGAAATGATTCGAAAAGGGACCAACATCGTTTTGAGTTGTGGATATTCTGGTCAAAGATGTTTTTTAAACTATCCTGCAGAGAATGACACCTGTAACTGCTTCATCAAAGGGGAGAATTCGAAGGATTTTTTTCTGGAAGCTGTGTCTCGCGGAAATAAGGAAGAGGTATAATAATGGTTGAAAATGTATGATCTCGATAAATTTATTCCTCATAATTTTAGATTTTTCTGAATTTTCATAAAGTATCAATTCTGTCAAAAAATAGATTTTTTATAAAGTATGATATACTCTGAGATGCAATGACTATTTTGATTATGGAAACGGAAAGAATCTGTAAAATAATGATCGAGTATCTTTTACATATTCAGATATAATTCATAGGGTAATATTATTCATATTTTATGTAACTTTGCAATAACAATTTGACACAATTACAGCAAAATAGTTACGTTCTTACAATTATTGCCAAAACTGAATCAGATATTGAATATCAAAGTTACCCAATTAGTGTTGTGAACTTGCCGTTATTGAAGTGACATCAATCCTCACGTTTTCCGGGAAACACATACCCAATATCAAAAAAAAATAACTTTTGGACAGGAATATTGGTAAACTATATTGTGAGACCTGACCTCTCTTTATTGATCAAAATTCAACAGGCGAACTGTATTTGAATATGCTAAAAACTACTGTTGACCCTCTCATCACTGAAATCGTCGAAGCTAATGCTAATGAGTTCGATATGGATATTGTATTCCAACAAATAGGAGTACCACCACATTACTCCAGACAAGTAGGCTATTATTTGGATACTACTTTTCCCGGTCGTTGGATTGGCCGTCGAGGTCCTACAGAATGTCCAGCCCGCTCGCCAGATTTGACACCTTTGAACTTTTCCATGGGGCTATTTGTAGCGAAAGGTGTATGAAACAGAACCTGCTTCAATATTGGATATACGGCAGAGAATAATAAATATTTGTAGAGATATTGACGTTACTGTGTTCAGTAAGTAAGTATGTCAAGAAGTTCAAGGCAATCATTTCGAGCATTTTCTGAACTGACCTCAAGCTTATTACCTCATATTATTTATGTAGTTAAATGTCAATGTATGCAGGCAATTATTAAAAGTTCCGCCATATTGTAGAAGTTGAAGATATTGCCATTATATTCTAGGGTGGCGAAGCATTTGTCAGCAGCTTCACAAAGATGTGTCACAAGACTCTCCTTTCTATTTAATTTTTTTCCCAGATGTCGCCCAGTCGCCATCTTCAAAGTTTCATCTGTCAATTTCACTTCAGAATAAAGTATTCATGCATTAATTTCATTATCCCAAATTTCAATTTTTTG